GGAAAGAGTACTTAAAAATCTATTACCAAGAATTCATGCGATAAGTTTACCTATTAAAAGGTGCAGACAGCATGTCAACAGTCAAAAAACAGATATCAATGTTCATATATTTAAGGCATTAAACAACACTCAAAGAAGGTGTACCATCCCTACCCAACATGCCCAAAACAAGTAACTTCTTAATCAAAACACTTCTTTAAGAAAAAGATGCAAGCCCTAGCCGGTGTGGCTCAGTGGATAGAGCGTTAGCCTGCGGACGGAAAGGTCCCAGGTTTAAGTCCAGTCAAGGGCACATGCCTGGGTTGCAAGCTCAGTCCAACGAGCAGGAGGCAGCCAATCAATGATTCCCTCTCATCATTGATGTTTCTACCTCTCTCTTCCTCTCCCTTCCTCTCTGAAATCAATAATAAAAAAAAAAAGACATTAAATAAAAGAAAGCCCTAACTGGTTTGGCTCAGTGGATAGAGTGTCAGCCTGCGGACTGAAGGGTCCCAGGATCGATTCCGGTCAAGGGCATTGTACCTGGGTTTCGGGCACATCCCCAGTAGGAGGTGTGTAGGAGGCAGCTTGTCAATGTTTCTCTCTCATCAATGTTTCTAACTCTCTCTATACCCCTCCCTTCCTCTCTGTAAAAAATCAATAAAATATTTTTTTAAAAAGGAAATAAAAAGATGCAAAATTATAGAAACACACCTTTTGAAGCATAGCACTAGCTTCCTCTGTGAAATAACGGCATATTTTCTGGGCGACGTCCAAACTCGTCTTCTCATTTGTATCTGAAATTCTCTCCCCAAGAAGGACCTTTTTCCAGCGAGGACTAGAACCAAAACGTTTAATACGATCATTTCAGCAGGATCTCAAAAAATAAAGACAACTTTTACACCTAAACCACACACACAGCCCTCTCCTGTTTCCAGAAGCATCACAAAGCCTGTCCCAGTGGATTCCTCTCATAACCCCCGCCCCAGGGACTCCCCACGCTCCCGCCCGCGCTCCGCCCTGTGCTGAAACGGACCAGGTTCACCAGAAGGCACGGCGAGAACAGGAAGCGGCCAGCACTCTCATTACCGCGCGGCCCTGGGCCGGGCGCAGTGGGCCGGCAGGTAGGATACACGTCTGAGGGTGGGCGAGAGGGAGCAGGAACAGCCCGGCCGGCTGGCGTGGCTCAGTGGGTGAGCGTCGACCCATGAACCAAGGAGGTCATGGTTCGATTCCCAGTCAGGGCACAGGCCTCGGGTAGTGGGCTTGATCCCCAGTGAGGGGTGTGCGGGAGTCCAGGAGGCAGCAGATCGGTGAGTCTCTCTCATCGTTTATGTTTCTGTCTCTCTCCCTCCCCTCCTCTCTCTGAAATCAGTAGAGCATTTTTTTTAAGAGGGAGCCACAGCAGATGCTGAGCCAAAGGGCAGTGCCTGTGCCCACACTTCTGAACAAGGAGCTGCAGGTCCCAGGGGGAACCTCTGAGGAGAGACTAGAAGTTCTCCAAACCACGCGCTCTGACTGTGATGCTCAAACAGAACCCGGAAAACTAAGGAGAGAAACACCCAGCTCGCAGGTGAGTGGCATCAAGAGCACGCGGCCCACGCCCGCAGCGGCATCCCAGAGCTACAGCCTGACCCACCCACGTGCACTCACAATTCTCCAGCCTCCAGACACAGCAGCTTCAGGGCCGTGAGCAGCCTCCAGGACGGCCCGTCCCATCCGAACGTCAGGTTTCTGCGAGGGGGACAGGACAAGCCGTCACTAGTACTTCAGGACCAGGGCTAAAGCAGTCTCTCTAAAGCGGCCACTAAACGTTAGGGAGCCTGCGGTCTTGGTCAGAAAGACAAAAGGAAAGTCAGTCTTCAAATACCTAATGATAAAGCCTGAGTAACAGGAAAACCTCTCATGTTAAAAAAAAAAAAAAAATTTCCAATGCACTTGGGTCAGAAGCCGGAGCCGGAGGAGGTCCAGCGGCAGGCACGGCCAGTCACAGGGAGACGAGGCTGCCCCTCTGGGTGGTCTGGGGTTAGACTAGCGGCAGCACCACAGCGCGACCGGCCTGGGACGGAGCTGGGTCACTCACAACTGCACTTTACCTACCGAAGGGAGAACCCTGACCCTCTTCTCCCCTTGGGTGTGAAGTCACCAGCCCCCCCATCCCAAGAGCCCACGCCGTGGTCGGGAGGGCCAGCCTGGCCTCCATCAGCCGATGCCACCCACCATATCACATTCAGAGACCAACGCCACCTGGGCCACCACCAACTCATTCAGGCTCCCTTCTGGCACCATGACTTCCTGTCCAAGCTGGCCTCTATGTCCCTGAAAAGCTTTCTTGGGAAGTATCTCACACTCCCGTGTGCCCCACGACACCAAGCACCGTTCACTGCACAGAGTAAGTGCTCGATAAACACCTACCTGCCAGCTGGTGAGTCAGAAGGTGTCTCATCCCTACAGAACCCTAACCTCCATTTTCTCATCACAATTTCCCAATGGAACAATTTTGAGAGAGAGGAACACTTACTCTATAAAGTCATGATCCTTTAAAATGGAAATCTTTTTGTTCATCTGCTTATCTGTTGATGGAAGATATTTAACAAGCACATCTACATAAAAAAAATCAGACTGAGATTTAGGATGTAATTCAGACAAAAGTATAAACCTTTCCTTCTCAGCTTACTTTCCTTCCCATTGCAACCAAGACATACGGAAACAGTTTCACCTAATTCATACAAAACAGAGGTCTATTCGTCAAGGCCCACGCAATGAGATCGTCATCAGCTTCAGAAAAGCCACAAAACTCCACAAGGCAGGGACCAAACACCCGCTACCCAGCTCACGCTCCCTCTCGGCACGCGGGCCAGCAAGCCCAGTCCCGGCGACCGCCCCCGGCAGGCCTGCTGGGAAGGCCTCCTCCGCGGCGGGCTCTGCACCAACACGAGGTGCGGAGCTTCCAAACGCAGACTCACAACAGCCTGCACAACTGTGACTACAACCTGAGCAACTGGAAGTGAGGATGCAAAGGGGCTAAGCCACTTGGGCAGCAGAGTCATGAGGGACTTTTGTATTTTTAAATTTTCTCTTCGCATTTGTCTTTATTTTTAAATGCAATAATCACTAATACATAAATGTTGATCACAAGTCAGCATTTCACGGTCATCATGTTAAAGTTATTCTGATAACACGAGGCTAATCTCAGAGCCCTTTTCTGAGACACCAGCAAGGCCCGCTTTTGCGTTTCTATTTTATTTCATAAAGAACAGCATGATTCTGCCCGCAGGATGGAGTAGCAGCACCTCGACCACGTTTCTATTTCCGCTGGAACTTGTATTAAAACCACCTCAATTACACACGCGGTGACTGTGCTGCTCCTCGCGCCTGGAGACAGTCCCTGCCGCCTCAGAAGGGACCAGGCTTCCACGTACCGTTTCCCACGATGTTGGGAATATTCACAGCATAAGTTTTTTAAAATATATTTTTATTGATTTCAGAGAGGAAGGGAGGGAGAGAGAGAGATAGAAACATCAATGATGAGAGAGACTCACTGATCAGCTGCCTCCTGCACGCCCCCTACTGGGGATGGAGCCCGCAACCCAGGCATGTACCCTAACCGGAAATTGAACCGTGGCCTCCTGGTTCATAGGTCGGTCAACGCTCAACCACTGAGCCACGCCAGCTGGGCCACAGCACAAATTTACTAGCTAAATCCTGATCTTAGAAAGAGTGACACCAAGGATGAGGGCTACTTAATGGCCACAAAAGAGCGTAGCCCAGGACTTCATCACGCACTGCGCCCTGGAACAAGGACGGGCATGCGTCTCCCTGTGGTGAGCACAGCGCGTCACACACAGCAGTGCTGCATGTTTGTATGTGTGGCTTTCTAATCCTGCTCTACCTTTAGTGACAGTGAAACGTCTCAGTACAGAGATCTCCATTTCTTTCCATCTATTAAATGTGCATTTCCTTAGCATGCTTCCTGGTCCTCCATTCCTGTCTGACCCAACACAATAAACTCTTCTCGACTCTTCTCATCCTCAATGTCGGTCAAAGCTTCGTTGTTTTTACTTCATTATCGCAATTACATGGTCAGCCAGAGTGAGGCGAGCCCTACCTTGGAGAAAATAAACTTTATACATTTTAAGGATTGCTGCCCAGCCGGCATGGCTCAGTGATTGAGTGTCAACCTATGAACCAGGAGGTCACAGTTCAATTCCCTGTCAGGGCACATGCCTGGGTTGCGGGCTCGATCCCCACTGGGGGGCGTGCAGGAGGCAGCCGATCAGTGAATCCCTCTCATCACTGATGTTTCTATCTCTCTCCTTCTCCCTTCCTCTCTGCTATCAATAAAAATATTTAGAAGGAAAAAAAGGATTGCCATTTTTATTAAAACTTAAAAGAACCTCACCCCCGGATGGGGAAGTATATACCATCTTAGTGATAGGAACCGAAGTCCATCCGACCTTGTGAGACGGGGACACACGCGTGGGGGTTCCCGCGGGGAACGAACCCGTACTCCAGCAGCAGCCGCCGGCTGTCGTGGGGGCCGTAGCAGATGAACACCTCCTCGTGCCGCCTGCAGCCCGAGCCCGTCCTGATTTCGTAACAGCGGGTTTCCTCATTAAATGCTGCTTTCACCTAGAAAGGAAAATCGTTAGTTTTTTAAAGCAAAACCCAAAACTAAAACGACTAAGTTATTATGTTTACTTAAGCCCGATGCCCCTTTGAAACACTCATCGCTGAATGTAACTGCACTGGGAACAATGAAGGTTCCCAGGGCAGCCCCTAGTTAGTCTCCATTCGCCCCACTGGCGAGGGAGTCCCACCCCCGGGTCCTGGGGATGGCAAACACTTGACAATGGGTAACACCTGACAATGGATAGTCACACAGACAGCCCGGGGAGGGAGGAGGGGGAGGAGGGAGGAGGGGAGCGACAGGCGGCTGGCCCCCAAGCTGTACTGTCTGCAGACAGCCACCAGCAGGGGCCACAGGAAGCAGGCTTTGTAGTAACAAGAGGTCACTGGTTCCCCGGGGAAGATATGAGTTACTTGTTTGAATAACTTCCAGGGCTGGCAGGGAGGTGAACCTGTTAGAGTGAGGGCCAGGTGGGGGCAGCTCCTCTGGCTGACAGGGCAACCAGCCGGGAAGCTTCTGCACCAGGTCGGGGACTACACGGTGCGAGCCGGGAGCTGCCCGCCAGGCCTCTGGGGCCCCATGAGCCCAAAGGTGTCGAGGCCCACGCGGGATTTCAGGTCTTACAGTAAGGCCTTTGAGCATGACACTGGCTGACACTGTCGTATGGATTCTGTGACTGTTTTGTGAGCTGATGGGTAGAGAGGAAAAGAATAAGAAGACCTACCTGCTCCCCACAGAAAGGAGTGGGTGCAGGCACTGAGGCCCCTTCCTTAGCAGCAAGCCCAGCGAGCCCCAGGAGGCGAGGAGGAGGAGCAGGCTGAAATTCCCACCTGGCAGCATCAACAATAGATTAAGGCCATGGTTTGGAGTCTCATGCCAAAAGCCACTGCAACGCACTTTAGACCCGGCCAGCAACTTCTTCCATAGAGGGCCAGAGAGGAGATGTCCAGCCCACCAGGCCCGGAGCCACATGCCCCGGCTGCAGGAGGCGGACCCACACTCACCTGTAAAATCACTGGTCCTGGGGGCGTAAATGCATGAACAACCCAATAAAAATAAAGCCACCCAAAGGGGCAGAGTCCCTGTGTCCAGCATCCTATTGTACCACGGCCCCACTCATTTCATCAACATCGACCACACACACCCTTCCTGGCTCGGCCTCCCGCACTCAGTGTTGTCAGAAACGATCCCCCTAAGGAAGTGACAAGCAGACAGGCAAGGAGTGTCCTGGACTTGGAGGCACAGCAGGGCCTCCCCACGCTCCCCCAATGGCAGTGGGCGAACCAGGTGGCTAACCGGGTGGCACGGTCTTCCCCGGGTGGCCGGGTGCGAAGAGGACAGCGAACAGGGGTCCCAGCCAGTGCGCCTGCAAGTGGACCCTGGGAGGGTTGGCCGTGGGTGAGCCGACTACAGACACCTCTGCCCTCAGGCAGGCCCTCCCCAGCAGGCCCTGCAGGCAGAACCGTCTCCGTCCTGTGCCACAGGGAGAGGGCAGAGGGCGAGGGCTCTGACTCTCCCACAGCAGGGTTCTCCAATGACTTCTGGGCTCCTTTCCCCACTCCAGAAAGTTTTGTTTGTTTGCTTGTTTTGTGTGTTTTTTAATAGAGGTTTATTGAAGGCCTACTACGTGCCAGGCCCTGCGCTGAGCACTGGGATTACAAAGAGGAACAGAGCAAAGTCCCGTCCTCTCAGACTGCAGAGCTCAGAGAGGGGGCAGTACATTAACCAGAGATCACAGCAAAGATCAAAGCGGACAGCAATGCCCCCAGGTATAAAAGGGGTCGGGACAGGAACGCAAGCCAGACTCCTGGGCCAGTTCTGGAAGGAGGAAGACCGGGCACCACAGGTGGACGAGGGAGGGGAGGCTGCGGGTTAAGACCTGGTGGGGGGGAGGGTAGCACTGGGCTCTGCGGGCCAGGAGGGACAGGGGGTCGGGCGCAGACAGGAGCACGCCTGGCGGCAGGCAGTTACCTAGCACCAGCACCCCTTCCCTGTGGCCCACTCCCTAGTCTAGGTCACAGGTTCTAAAGTTGCTGTCCTCCCTGTGGACACAGAACGGTGCCCCCTCGGCAGCCTCTCACCTGGACGGCCGGGCTGTTGTTCAGCAGATCCAGGTACGGGGCGAGCGCGCAGGTGTCTGGCTCCGCGGACAGGCCCTGCCTCCGGCCCCGCTCCATGTACACGGCTCTGGTGTTGACCGTGCACCAGGCCCACCGGAAGGCCCTGTAGCTGAAGACGCTGGCCGCGGCCTCGGAGAGCAGAGGCTGCAGGGAGGAGAAGCGGCCGCGGGAGGAAGTGAACAGCTCACGTACACGCGTCCTCTGCTCTCTGGCCTTCGCTTCCAAAGGCCTGGGGAGAAGAGCCACCACTTCCGGCTCCAAACACACAGGGCAGGTGTAGGCCTTCGGCAAAACCTCCAGGTAGGGCTTCCAGGGGGACCGGTCCCCAGCATGCTTTTCTGCAACTAGAAAGGTGCACAGAGCCAGCAGAGGGGACGGGGGAGGCTGCCACCTTTTCAAATTAAAGCAGAGAAAAAAGTTACTCTTATCGGAAGATACAGACACTCTAGTGGTTAGTTCTGCTCCCAGAGGGCCGGGGCGGTCAGCACTCGCCCAGCTTATTTCATGGGCCCCTGGGAGGTCTTCCTTCCTCAAAGCTTTCTCTCCAGAGAGCACCCAACACAAGTGCTCCGAGCAGGTCACACCACACACCACCAGCCCCAGTCCCAGCTTTGTTTGCAAGATTCCTTTCTGGAGGCGCCCTCTCTGCTTCCAACTTGGTTGTCCAGCTTTAAGCGTTTGCTGGCAGCCCCCTGGTTTCACTGGGATAACGAGGGCACTTGGTGGGGGAACAGACGGAAAGAACCTAGTACATCCACTGGTACGTGTAGGCATTTCAATTCTAAGTTACCGTCTCTATTGCAAATTATACACTGCAGTATTTGTATCTGTTCACAGTAAAAAATCGCATGCTGCATGGACGTATTAAGAAAAGTTTACATTAATCATCGAGATTCCTATATTATCACACATTCTAGTCAAACTTTCAGAACGATATGGAAAATATTAATGCTGAGAGCTTCCTTGCCTCCACTCACACCAATGAAGACCGATCAGTCCTCTTACAAAAGCAAGTGGGGCCCAGCCAGTGCGGCTCAGTGGCTGAGTGTCGATCTATGAACCAAGAGGTAGGTTCATTTCCAGGCAGGACACATGCCCCGGTTGCAGGCTTGATCCCCAGTAGGGGGCATGCTGGCTTTTTAAAAAGCCAGCGGGCGGGAGGGGGGGTGGAGGGGGGGCCACATTCAGAATTTACCCTGGGCTAGGACACAATTCAATCTATCACACCTCACAGTTTACAAACGCTTCTGCTGAGGCTCTCGCACTCTGTCCGCACTCTGTCCGCACTCTGTCTTCAGGTGGACCCTCAGGCGGACCGAGCGGAGGCCCAGGAGAACATGAGCGGGATCAGTTCTCCCCTCAAGGCTGGCCCCTCTCTCCTACGCTAAATAAAGCTAACTCTTCCCTAATGTCAACAGCTCTTCAGAGTTGAAGGAAAATTCAAGCAAATACAATGAGGGTAAAAATAAAAGAGAAACTGACATTTGTAAGCTCTACTACGATGGAGAAGAAGCTTCTGTGAGCAAGGCGCTGGGCCCTGACTTCCTTCATTATCCCATTCATCTGCAGTTTCTGGGACAGATCAGGACTCAAACCCACCTCCCAGTTTGCCATGAATTAAAACAAACTTCACAGACCAGAGTAGCCCTGTTGCACCATTGCAGGTATCGGCTACGCGAGGGGTGGGTCCTCCTGAACTCTGCCTCAGGTGACATACCTGCCGGTGGACAGACTTTAAGGAGAAGCGGTGCCCAGGTAGCATGTGTGCGGTCACTTACTTAGCAATGTACGCCCCTAAGTAGCTCCTAATCACTGTGTCCGTGGTGAGCAGGCAACTCTCGGGCAACGAAATAATCACCTGTCCCTCCTTCCCGAAAAAGAAAGCAGAGTTTAGAACGCCCGTGCTTTGGGAAGGGCCTGTGAGTGCGCATCTTTTCAAGTCCTCGGTTTCATCTACTAAGCACCCAACCACAGAGACCACCACCGACTAACTCCCAAGCCCCTGAGTCAGCGGGTGTAGGCAAGGCTGCTCCAACGCAGGTACTACCCCGACAGGAATTAAAGGTCAATTATGTGACTGTCAACCTTTCACCAGAAAGGAAAGTGGAAACACTGACAACTCAAATCAAATTGATCCTTCACTTTCTTAGGCCAGGAAATTGTGCTACCTTCAGGAAACAGGCAGAGCCCCACACACTCACACACAAAAACCCATCTGGTGCAACCCCCTGTATCCAGTGGCTGTCCTAGAAATGGCCCACCCTCCCTCAGCCTGTGTCCACTAGCTAAAGCAAGGGCAGCCCGCCAGCACAAGGGGCCCATCTAACACCTGCAGAAGTACAGCCCTTCACACGGAGACGGGAACAGAGAAAGGAAAATTAAGGTGCAAGTAACGGACCCCAGAAACAAGTACGTCGCCAACAAGCGAGGCGTAAGGTCCTGCTGTCGCCGTAACTGGCATCTCAGTTACGAATTTCAGCCCAAAATCAGCTGGGTGCCGTTGCCAGTCGCCTCATCTGTAAATCGAGATTAGACTAGATCATCCCTGCCACCTCTTCCTGCCCCGACATCCGTGACTTTATGGTTTTTAAAAAATCCACCCGGTGGCTCAGTTAGAGAATCATCGGGTACAGCAAAAGGTTGCGGCTCGATTCCCGGTCAGGGTACATACCAAGGTTTCGGTTTGATCTCCACTCAGGGAGGGTAAGAGAGGCAACCTACCAATGTTTCTCTCTCATGTGGATCTCTCTCTCTCTCTCTCTCTCTCTCTCTCTCTCTCAAATCAATAAAAACATACCCTCAGGTGAGGATTTTTTTTAAGCCACTTGATAAAATGGTCTATATCAGCTGTGGGCCAACTACAGCCCATGGGCCTCGGCCCGTTTGAAATGAATAAAACTAAAAAAAAAAAGACCGTACCCTTTTTTATGTAATGATGTTTACTTTGAATTTATATTAGTTCACACAAACACTCCATCCATGCTTTTGTTCCGGCCCTCCGGTCCAGTTTAAGAACCCCTTGTGGCCCTCGAGTCAAAAAGTTTGCCCACCCCTGGTCTATATGGTCCTTGGGGTAAATCTCTTCATCATCAAAGCTCATCAAACTGAACACTTAAAAGCTGTGCAGCCCA